AATTTATCGCTAGCCATAAAATCCCATCCAAGCCCATCCAATCCTACACATAGCCCATGTCACTATTTTCCCTTTTCAACCACGATAGGCCCGAAGCTACCAAGCCCAACTTTAAACCCTACATAAAGCCTATATGTTAATTTCCCCTCATCATCCTTGATAAGTCAACAATTTTTAAGCCAAATTCTAACCTAAACCTAATATCAACATCTAGCACTCTATGAATGTGCAAAGCTACCATAGCACTCCTAGCCTATTTTGGATTACAAATGCTATAAAATCTCTCCTAAATTTATCGCTAGCCATAAAATCCAATCCAAGCACATCCAATCCTACACATAACCTATGTCACTATTTTCCCTCTTCAACCATGATAGCCCCGAAGCTACCAAGCCCAACTTTAAACCCTACATAAAGCCCATATGTTAATTTACCCTCATCATCCTCGATAAGCCAACAGCTTTTAAGCCAAATTCTAACCTAAACCTCTCTTAAGGCTCTACCTTTAGTCACTTATACTATCCTAACATATCCACACCACTCTCTTCTACACTCTCACTCTATAACTGATAACACCCAAAACCAAGACACATACACACCATAAATTCCTCTCACTATTTATATCTTCTAGTATAATCTCTCATTTAAAAATTCCATATCTTCTAACAAGTTGACCTATAAACACACATACTATGACAATAAGGGCTACTATTGGCAAATTATAACCCAAAAACCTCATGAACCTAGTTACTCATGTTATCCCGACATGCCATACCTAAGTCATCAAGGATCCCTCATACCATAATGCCATGCAAGATGAGTTTAATGCCTTGATCAATAACATATGAGAACTTGTCCCTCGATAGGAAGTTTTAAATATAGTAAGTCTGGAAGAGGGTTTTTCATGTTAAAGAAAAATACGATAAGAGCATATACTACTATAAGGCTTGCCTCATTGCTAAAGAGTTTCACCAATGCCTAGTTATGGATTATGTTGAAACATTTAGTCTCATGATCAAACTAGCCTCTATTCATTTGGTTCTTTCTCTAGCCATATCATTTGGTCCTTATGGAACATTTGACAAAGCCCTCTCTATGAGCAACCATCGAGGTTTCAAGATAGCTTTAAACTATGGTATGTCCGCAAACAACAAAAATCACTATATAGTTTAAAACAAGCCCTAAGAATATGGTTTTATTGCTTTATAGATATTCTCACTACTCTTGGCTTCCAAGGCTCTAAAATAGATTACTCTCTTTATATTTACATCTCTACACCTACAAAGACATTGTCTCATTTATGTCGATGAACTTATTCTCATCGACAATGATCCAAGTGTTTTGACTATTGTGATAAGCAAGCTTGAGCATAACTTTGTTCTAAATGATCTAAAGTCCCTCTATTATTTCTTAGGCATTAAAGGGTCTTATACCTCATTGATCATTTTTCTCTCATAAAAAAAATATATTCATGATTTATTAACTTGTTGCAAGATGAATCAAACCAATCTAATCTCTACTCCAAGCATGTTCGACAACTAAGTTACATGGCATTGGATCATAATTTTTAGATCCGTATCCGTATAGAAGCATTGTAGGTGCTTTTTAATATTTATATATCATTAGACTAGACATTTCTTTTAGAGTTAATCGGGTCTCATAGTTATGTAAAATACTATAGATGATCATTAGAAAGCTATTTAGTGTATTCTTTAATACTTACACCAAATCTCAAACTATGGTCTTTTTCTTTATTGTAATCCTAAATGATAGATATCAGCTTACAATGATATTGATTGGGGTGGTTACCTCGATGATAGGAAATCTGCTATAGGCTTCGCCATTTATATTATTTCCAGTATCATTTTTTGGTGCTCCCAAAAACAATGAATAGTGGCAAGATCCTTTATAAAGGCTAAATATAGATCTCTTGTAACAATATCATATGAGGTATTGTTGCCCTACTCTCTTATCTATGAATTGGGTTATCAACTCCCAAAAGCTTTAATTTTATGATGTGACTATATTACCACAACATATCTTACTACTAATCTTATTTTTCAATCTCGAACTAAGCACTCGGAAAATAGATATTCATTTTGTATGTGACAAGGTTGTTGTCAAGGAACTTCGAGTTTCTTATATATCCACCAATGATCAAATTGCGGATATTTTAGTGAAACCACTATTAAAACAAAAGTTTCAACTCTTTAGAAACAAGTTGACAATTCTTCCATCCACCATCAACTCGAGGAGGAGTGATAAGGATATTGTTAGTTTAAATTTGAATTTTAAAAACATATTAGATAGGATGAAGTTCAATTGTACTCTTTCAATTTATTGTTACAATAAACACTAGTAGAATTTCCTTATAAATTCTCTAGTACATATATACTATAATACAATCAATATATTGACTTTTTCACTCTTTCATTTTCATCACCCTTATAAGAAATATTAAAATCTTCTTTATTATACTTCTCAATTTTACTAAGATTGCATACGTCTTTAATTTTACAAGCTTGGTGCAAATCTTCACTTGCCTCAAACATGTAAAGGATTCTTATAAAAGTAAAAAACAATAGTTACCATTTTGCTTTAAATTGTATCAAAGTGTTATTGATGTTTATAATCTCAACTTCATGATCATCATTAAAGTCTCGAAGGCTTCTAGATAATCATATATTCAATTGGTTCAAGAGATTTAATGACATACTTTATAGAAGAACTTTTAAATTTGTTAGCCTTTAAATTAACTTTACACTTCATGAATGCACCATTACAATCAAACATAATAAATCTATCTATTAACTCTATTCTAATAGGAAACCAACTCATGATAGGCATTCTATCCTCTATTATCAAAGTATTCTAGACTTGTTTCCACCACGAAAAAACTCTTAACTCTTCCTCTTAATCTAATCTCAATCAATTGCAACATCTCATCCTTTGATAATCATGCACATTCCATCACATTATTACAACCATTATTCCAATCCATAAATTCTTTAACAACCAAATCTCTATATAAAATTTGTTTAACTCATAATTAAATCTATAACACATACCTCTATTATAACTTTCAATTGATTTTTTTTTAAAGCAAGAACTAGAGGGAGCACTATTCAATTTAATATGAAAAATTTGAAATGAATCAAATTGAATCATCAATTTTAGTTTAGTTTTTAAATCTTCTTTTTTTTAAAAAAAAAAATCAAACTAAATTTTTTTTTTGTTTCGGTTTTGTTTTTGAATTTTTTTGTTCGATTTTCATCAAAAACTAAATTTATTTTTTTTATTTTTATTTTTTATATTTTGAAGTTGTGATCGTTATTTGAAGCTTGACGAGTTCTATTTAAAACACATTTGAACAATTAATGATATTAAAAAAACAATCAATCCAAAAGCTTTTCTTATTAGGTGAGACCCCAAGAATAATTTTACATTACTCTCTAACATATCCTTCAAGTGAAGGCTTTTGGACTTGAAATTTACACATCCTCATCATCACCTTGAGTTTAGTTATTTAATTAAAAGAGAAAGTAGGGGTGATGAAATTTAAACTAGTGTACTGTTTGATCATCAATGCTTAATACTATGTGAAAGAATAATAATAACTCAAAACCTTAAACTGTTGAGTAAGGTCTCAAGAATAATTTTATATTAACAATAAAAAGTTTGAATCCTATCATCCTCAATTTTTCTTTAAATTATTAAAAAGAAATATGTACAATGTAGGATGAGTTTTTGCAAGTTTTAAGTTTAAATGATCTTCACTTGAGAAGGTCTTAGAAACTAATATAAAACTATTCATGAGATCTCACTTGATGAGTTAAACTTTTGAATTGAGATGGTTATTTGACAAATAATTTTTGATCATTATATATTTTAATTATTGATTAGTAGATTTGTATTTAAAATTTGATACCTTATTATGTGCATAAGTGGACTTGTATATAAACAAATATTTATTATCTTTTTTATAGGCTAATATAGACCATTTAGACTAAAAGAAAGACTTCATAGTCCATGACACAATTTTTTTATATCCTATTTACATCATTTAAAAAAAAAATGGTTTGAATCGAAAAACCAAACACAAAAGCTAAAATGTTAGTTTCAAAAACCAAAAACTCGAATAGTAATTAGGTTTGGGTTTGGTTTGTTGTGGATTCGATTAATCGAAAACCAAATCAAAATATTAAAAACCAAACTGAAAATGCAAAAGCTCACCCTAAAAGGAACATAAATACAAATAGGTTGACTACGAGCTATTTAGCTAGTGTGCCCCCTATTGTAATCTTGATACCTGTTGGCATCTAAATTTAAGAAATCAGAATCTTCTCCAATACTTGCGAAGCTCCTATCGAGCCATTCAAAATACCAATCATGCCTCTATTTTTATCGACGCCATAACCTAGATCCGCACATCATCCCATATGATTTGGATCTCTTGATATGTGTCACTAGAATGGTTGCTACAACTTTATCCACCAAGTTGGGTTTAATTCCATTCTGATATCAATTGACATAGTGTATAGCAAAAGGATGCAGGGTTATTTAGTAGTAAAAGCCCTCAAGATAAAAACACAATAAAGCTGTAGAAAAACACCAAAAAAAAAAAACACTCAAATCTTATTCATCAACTCTTCATTCTTGTTAAAAAGCTATTACAACTCTTTAAATAGAAAAACTAGAACATTAATTTTCTAACAACACTTGCTTAATTAAATACAAAAAACAAATTCTAAACAAACTTAACAATTAAAAAAAATTACAATTGAAATAATTAATTTTAAGATTATGTGAGACACTCCCAGGTCATAGTCAATGACGAATGATCTCATCTTATAGCTACGGAAGCTTATTGAAATAATTAATCTTAAAATTACGCGAGACACTCCCAGGTCATAATCAATAACCAATGATCTCATTTTCTGGCTACTGAAGCTCATTGAAATAATTACGATTAAATTACTTGAGACGCTCCCAGATCATAATCAAGGACAAATGATCTCATTTTTAGCTGCTGAAGCTAACAAAAATTGGCGGAGAACTCGAAAATATTGGATCAACATGTCATGTTGGCGTGCGTTTTCTTTGATAATTGGTAACTCAGCAAGATTCTGCATCCATTTGGCCAAGGAGGGATATTTGACTGAGTCAAATATCTTCACACTGGCGATTTCCTCAATCACTTCAAGCCATATAGTGGTCCAACCCAGGACTACATCAGCAAATCCGATGGTATGACCTCCAAAAATTTCTTATCCTTTAGCTCACCTTCAAGAACTTCGAGGGCTTCTCTTGCTTCCTTTACTTCCTTGTCTTGTAGCTCCCCATCTGTTGCTAAAATTCTCCTTGTAACTTCAGTTAACTAGTGAAAGATCAACGATAAAGATTTGAAGAATGATAATGAAAGTAATGTTTGAGAAAACAGTTATATATATACTCAATGATAAACGTAAAAAAAAAAAGAAAAAAAAGAAATATGGTACTAGAAGATGTACCTTTTCTTCAATGAACTTGGCCCAAAAGCGTGCCCTGGCTTTCTCGTAAGTGTCTTCGGGCAGTATAGGGTTGTGTTTCCAATTCTCGTCTATGTACTCTATGATAATAAGGGATTCAAAGATGGCTCTTCCATTGTGAACAAGAGTAGGGATTTTCTTGGAAATTGGGTTGTACTTCAGAAGTAAAGGGCTCTTGTTCCTTATATCTTCTTCCACAACCTCGTATTGAATGCCCTTAAGCTTTAGTGCCATTTCCACTCGGTGAGCAAATGGACTGAACCATCCACCCAATAACTTCACCTCTTGGTTATTAGCCATTTAATTCGAGAGTGGTTGTTTGTGTTCTATGTTTCTGGTAATGTGTATTTTGGCTTCTATAAATATACAATATTTATAGATCAAGTCATACCCTTTTAATTATTTTATTTTGCTTGCATGTGCTTTTGTTTTATGCATTGAAGTCCTTCCATTTATATTATTCTTTTAAAGTTTAATTTATAATGGTAGTAGGAAAAAATAATGTTGGAGATGAGTAGTAGACATAAGATACTATGAGATTAAATACTAAAAATAAGACTAATTTATTTTCAATAAGACGAAAATGACATATATTTATGCTTGTCTCGGTTTGGTGGTGGCCTTACGGAGACAGGACATTTAATTTATTTAAACCAAACAACTCACCAAATATATGTAACCAAAGATAATAAAATAAATAAATAAATAAACTTTCAAAATACAAAGTAGCATGCTACATTAACATGTTAGGTGATTTAACTATAGTTTAAATGATTCTAATACGATTCCACTTTTTTCAAGAAATTTCAAATTTAAACCTTTTCTTTGTAAAACAAAAATTACTAATTGAACTTTGTGTTAAGTTTTAGAGATTGATGTAGATGCGATCTGCAGTTTAGTGCGTTATATAGACAACGAGGCAAGGGTCAAATGGATAGCACCTCTTGTTGGAGCTTAGGGACTGGAGCTCCTAAAAGGTCTATAGAATATTGGGCTAGGTCTATAAGCTTGTTATAATTTTTTTTTTAAATTTATTATTATAATCCTAGTTGTCTATACTATAAATAGAATAACATCTCTTGTATTTGTAGTCGTTTATTATAAATTCCTAATAAGAACTCTTAATGCGGTCGTGGTGTAGGCATAATTGCCGAACCATGTAAATCTTTTTCTTGTATGATTTTTTTTTACCTTTCTACTCTATTTTCTTACTTGATTCTTTTCCTAATAACTTGTATAAGAGCTTTCGGTTCATCTGGGTAAGGTGGAATCATAGTAGAAGAAGGAAAAGTAAGGATTGACAAGTTTGATGGTAAAGACATTAGGTTTTGTAAGATACGGATTGAAGATTATCTATATCGAAAGAACCTACACAAACCCCTATTAAGAAAAGCCGGAGGGGATAGAAATATTGATTGGTTTCTATCAAATCACTATGCACTCGGGTGTTATTCGGCTAACATTGATGCGAAACCTTGTTTTCAACATCATGAAAGAAAAGGCCATAACGGATTTGATAATGACACTATCAAATATGTATGAGAAGCCATCTCGCCTCAAATAAGGTATTTTTGATGCATTAGTTATTCAATTTAAAGATGATAGAGGATGTGTTTGTAACCAATCACGGTAATGTATTTAAAGTGTTGATCACCGAATTGAAATTGATAAATATCATGTTCGATGATGAAGTTAAGATACTAATTTTGCTATCTTCTTTACCTAAGAGTCGGTATAAAATTGTAACAACGATAAGCAATTCATCAAGGAATGAGAAACTAAAATTGAATGATTTTCGAGATTTAATGGTTAGTGCGGATCTTCATAAAAGTAATTTATAAGAACATTCAAGTTCTGCTTTGAGCACTAATAGCAAAGGAAAGGACTTTCAGCACGGAATCATGATCATGGTATGTCAAAATCAAAAGATAGAGGAAAATCTAAAAATCACAAAGAGATCTCCTACTACAATTGTGACAAGAAAGGGTACTTTAAAAATCGGTGTAAAGCTCCGAATAAAAAGAAGAATTAGGATAATGACTCTATATATGTAATGACTAATGAAATTATAGATGTATCCATTTATCGTATGGATAGTCCTATTCAGTCTTGGATTCTAGACTTAGGTGCCTCATTTTATTCTTCTCTATATAAAGATTTCTTACTTAAATATGTTGTAGGAAATTTTGAAAAGGTTTATCTTAAATAAGATAAACCTCTAGACATTATGAGGAAAGGTGAGGTTAATATCAAACTACCAATGAAATGTAATGAAAACTACAAAATGTTAGACATATTCCAAGTCTTAGGAAAAATCTAATTTATTTGAGCAAAGTTGATGATGTTGGATATACAACGACATTTGGAAGTGGTACATGAAAGATAACGAAGGGAAATGTGGATGTAGCACGAAAAAGCATGGTTGAGACTTTATAGACTTTATATATGACTACTATGATAAGAGATATAGTAATAGTGGATAATTTTGATGTGATGTTGATTCGATATGGTGGCACCGAAGGCTTAAGCATATAAATGAAAAAGGGTTTGAAGTAGTTAGCATGAAAGCAAAAATTACTAGAGTTACCAAAGATGTACCTTTTGTTCTATGAACTTGGCCTAAAAGCATGCCCCGGCTTTCTCATAAGTGTCTTTAGGCAATATAGGGTTATGTTTCCAATTATCATCAATGTACTCTATGATAATAAAGGATTCAAAGATGGCTTTTCCATTATGAACAAGAATAGGGATTTTCTTGAAAATTGGGTTGCATTTAAGAAGCAAAAGGCTTTTGTTCTTTATATCTTCTTCCATAACCTTATATTGAATGCCCTTAAGCTTTAGTGCCATTTCCACTTGGTGAGAAAATGGTTTGAACCATACACCCAATAACTTCACCTCTTGGTTATTAGCCATTTAATTCGAGAGTGGTTGTTTGGGTTCTATGTTTCTAATAATGTGTATGGGTTTTATCTTTCTAGTAATGTGTATTTTAGCTTCTATAAATATATAATATTTTTAGATCAAGTCATGCCTTTTTAATTATTTTATTTTGCTTGCATGTGTAATGGTGTGATGTACCACTAATAAATTAGATTTTATTTATTTTTCTTATGGAACCCAACTATATGAGTGTAGATAGGGTAAGTAAGGGTTGAACCCATATAAAAATGGTCTAATCAATGGTTCCATTGGCTGATTATTCTGAAGTGCAATGGAAATAAAAGAGGGGTTTGTGTTTGTGGAGATTTATAAAGCAATCAAAAGAAGTAGCATTAACAATAATAAGGAAAGCCTTGGTTGAAGTTTGGTATCACTTTTGGTTTAGTCTCAATCATTGATTCAAACATTAATCTATAATTAATAGGAATATTTACCATAGGACAACAACATATATGTTGTCTCTAATCTTTTCTTATTGATTCGTTAACCAAATAGATGATACTTGATTAATTCCTAACTACTGAACAACCTAATAGAAGCTAGCTAGATTTAATCCAATAACTATATTAAATTAGAGAAAGATAGGTGAAGCTAAACAACCCTTCTAGATGCTAAAAAGATTTAATCTAGTTCTATATTTTCTAAGAGATTAAACAAAAATGCATTTATAATCATTAACCCTTAGTTACTACCATATGCAAGTTTAGTGAGCAATTACACGGACTTTGAATACTTAGATAGCAATAGATTATGATGATTGAGAAACTAGCATGCACTCTAATCAATTAATCACATAATCATATTCAAATAACACAAAAAAATATAAAATACTCAAAAGAATAAGTTTAGAATTAGAACTCATTAAGATCTCATAATGATTTTACCAAAAGCATTGACTTTCCTTCAACCAAGATAGATGTTTAGGGACTCATGGTTGATTACTAGAGAATTTTCTATCTAATGGTGGCTACTCGGCAAGAGAATTTTTTAATAAAGCCCTAGCCTCACTATTTATTGCTAAAAGTAGGGTTACAACACACATACATGTCTGTCCCACATGACCATCTATGTTGTTTGATAAAGACATATTAAAAGTTGCTTAATCTTACACGGTTTAGAGCCTTAGAGAGTCTGGTGTTGCATGATTTGTTAGATAGAGGCATATGATCGTATGACTTTTGTATTCCATTTCATGTCTCATTTTGCTTCATCTCGTGTCTATGGCTTCTACCCATATGATTTTGTTGCTTCATCCCGTGTCACTTCCTTCTACTCATGAGCCTTTGTTTCTTTATCTTTTATATTTCTTCTAGCTTTGACATATATGAGCATGTCTCTTCTTTAGTGCATTTTGTGTGGAATGCTACCACGTGTGTTTTGCTTTTTGCCTATTGGAAGTATCTCAGCCTCTACACATATATGATTGTGTCACTTTTCTTGCTCTCATAATGTGGAATGTTACTAATCATGTGAAATTATTGTTGAAAAACCACACAATTTCCTCCATTTTTTTACATGGCCGGTGGCTATTTCTTTTTGTAATTCATGCAGTCATGTGTCTCCTTAGGCTTCGTTGGTGAATTCGGCTTTTCTTTGCTTTGGTTTAGGTTTTTTTGCTTCAATTCATCGTTTTCCTATAGTACTTAAGATCTTTATATTGATCTTAATTTTCTAAATATAGTGCAATAAGAACTAGAAAGTTCAATTAAAAGAGCATAAAATTTATGCAAATTATTCTCTCATCAAATACGGCACATTTAAACTTTAGTAGTCCTTTAGAAAAATAAAATAAAATAAAATAAAAACCTAATTCACTTTTGTAGGAATCATGATTACATTTAGCACATCTAATAAGCCTTTAAACCTCTATATTACCTCTAGTGGACAAGTTATGTCTCGTGAAATTTTTAGATGATAAACCTATAAAATTGCTTAAATGAATGTCATGGTAGTATGATTATCCTTCAAACATTGATGCTCAATTCGAAATTTAACAAAATCAAATAGTTAAATTGATCATGTTTAAAATATTATTCTCATATCTATGCATGTTTCTAAATGAATTTATGCGTCTTTATAACTAACCACAATTCAAGCATGCAATACTTATTTTGCCCTTACTCCTTTTCCACTACTACAAACAAAAGTAATAAACTAAGATTTCCCTTGATTAAAAGTTTTCTTCTTTTAGCATCCCAATCTTTTTCAAGGCCTTTAATTTCTCTTCCCTAAGTAATCACTTATCTTTTTACGTGACTATAGATATTAGTGATGAAAGTAATCGATTACTCACCACGTCATAAACTTAGATTGCTTTGTATACTTATAATTCAAATTATCATTTGACATAAAAGGAA